GGAGGGGGGGGCGGGGAGGAGTGTCACACTAACACTGCTTCATGCAAAAAAGAGCTTGATCCTATGGAGCCACAGTGACCTCTGCGCGCCGGTCCAAGAGGCCTGCTGTGGGAGGAAGGGGGAAAGGTACTGTTGGCCAGGGGCTCCCTCCTTCCCCGTCCTCACTGCAGCTTTTACTGGTACAGCCAGTAGGGGCTGTTTCTAAACAGATTCTGCCAACAGGCCAACCACCCATGTGTGGCGCCCTTGCCCAGTCTCTAAAGCACCGAGTGCGTGCTCTGCCAAAGGAACAGAGTGGCACCCGCTCCAAGGGGCCTCAGACCCAAGGGCACCCTCCCCCCACCTGACACCTCACACCCAGAGGTCAGCAGTGGGAACATTGCACGGACTCCCAGATTTGTCCATTCCTCTCCCAGTCTGAGAGCACAGGGGCAAGCCGCTGCTGTGTTTGCAGTGGGAAAAAGCTGGCACCAAAAGCCTCTTTGGCGTCTTGGAGTGGGGAAACAGATCTCCTTTCTAGGGCCCTCTGGCTCATTATTAAATTCACTTAAGCCAAAAGAAGCTAATTCTGTATCAAAACTTTCAAATCGGGGATCGCTCTCTGCACCTTTAAACATTGAGCATTCCTACGTTCTGCACTGTGATCCCAACTGGGTTTGGAGAAAGGGAGGGAAGACATCTGTCCTGTATGATGGATAACTGTCCTGGGGCAAGCAGCCGCCAGGGTAACAGAGTGAGAAAGAAAAGTGGCCTCACAATGATCTGCAAAATCAAGTCACCAAAACAGAAACTTCAAACCACCCCGCCACTGCTCAGTGGAGTGACTAAACCTGGTACGGTGGCCTCCCAGTTAGACAAAGCCAAAGACGCCACCCAGTGGAGGTTTTGTGAAGAGAGTGGAGAAGGGAAAAAGAAAAGAAGGCTCGTGGATGTGTTTCAGCAGCATCAGAGTCTGACTTCGAGCTCCTAGTGCAGTATCTACAGAGCCTGCCTGAGAGTGTTGCCCCAGCTGGTGAGCCCGGCCCCCCAGGCCCTGGGGTGCAGCTCTTAGGGCTCAAAATCCCAACATGAGATGCCAGCTGGTAAGCCTGGCCCCCCAGGCCCTAGGTGCAGCTCTTGGGTCTCAAAATCCCAAGGTGAGACGAGGAACTCTTTGAGAGACAGAAAGGCTTTCCTTCAGTCTCCTTTTCATTAGAAGTTGAGATTCAACCCAAACCGACCATATCCCTACTGGTCCTTCCTGGGTCCTCAGCTGGCTTGGATGGGCACTGGTTTGGCTGGCCCAGACCACTGACTAAATTTCCCCAAGGCCTTGGGGACACTGTCAGATTCCTCCCCAACACAGCTGTTTAAGGAAGTCACAGAGAATGTAATGGTTATGGATGGTTACTGGTCAGGAATGGAGTGGGGAAAAGCTTAGGTACACAGGGTATTCCTTCCTTCCTTTCCCCTAAGTCCAATCTTTGTGCCTAAAGGTATTGGCTTTAACTCTGGTCCCTAGTACTCTGCCTGCTTCAGAAGGAGAAATGGGAAATGACAACCATGAAATGTTTCAGGTTCCTGTGGCATCAACCTCCTGAGCCCACGTCTCCCCTCCATTCTAGGTCAGTGGAGAGCACACAAGGGGCCCTCGGGAAGCAAGAAGGAGATGGGGAGTATGGCTAGAAAGCCGTGAGTGGGAGAGAGCTGGGCCAGGAAAGCTGTCTTGGAATCGAGGACCACACCAAGTCTTCAGACTCTCCCTGCAGATCTGCAAGTCTTGCTGCCCTTGAGAAATACACCTCGGTCTCCTCCCAGCAGCTTCTTGGAAGATAAAGAAACTATGCTCCTTGCTCCTCAGACTCTATGCCAACCCATAAGCCAGAATCTTCACTCAATACAAAAAAGGGGGAAAAAAACCCAAGCAGGTTGTAAACTTTTCGAGTCCTTCATGAGGAGAGGTATTTTCCCAGTAAAATTTTTTTTTTCCTTTTTAAAGTTTGTTTCAAAATAAAGAGAGCAAGAGAGAAGTCATGAATTCTAGTGAAAGGTGTGTAAAAACACAAGCTAAAAAAGGTACTGCCATCAATATGAAATTTAAAAAGAAATATATATATGTATATACGTGCAGCTAATTTGTGTATATATAATTTTTACATACATACATATATATGTCTGAACAGTGCAAATGGATGGAGTTCATAGTTCCAGTTTTAAAAATATAGTACAAGGAGAGTCTGTTGGTGTGAGGCCCAGGTGAGAGGATAAAGACACCTTTGGCGCGTGGTTGGGCTTAATTTCCTGTCTGAACTCAGCTGCTCCCGGTGCGGACCAATCTGTCGTTCTCTACCAGCTCAATTCCAGAGACATGAAACTCAGAGGGATTATTAATAGTATTTAGTTTAGGGCTTTTGAACATAATGACTTTTTTCCTTTTTCTCTTCTTTTGTGTTAATGGTTACTCTGACACAGGAGACGGAAGGGGTGAGAGGATGAGGGTGAAGAGGAGGGGTGAGGGAAGGCTAGGTGGCCACATCCCTCTGCTGTGACCTCGCCATCCGGAAAATGTTCTGAAAGGAAAACAGAAAACAGTCACTGGGAAGCCTGAGGTATCTGCATCTCTCCCCTTCTGGAGGCTAGCCTCAGACAGACACACAGACGCATGACTGAATGACTCCACCTCACTGGCCTCCACCTCTGCTACAACTTCCCATGTGGAAGCATAGCCTTTTAGACCCAGAGAGGAGCTTAACTATTTATAATCTGGTTCAGCCTTCCCATTTTACAGATGAGAAAAGATGAGAAAACGGAGATCTAGGGGAGGCTCACTTGCCCAACACTGAAGGGAGAAAAAATGCTGGGAGGGAATCGTCGTCTGAGTCTCAGAGCCCGGTGTTCTTCCTACTATACCAAGAATATGAATTTCATGTTCTTGACTTTACCTTCTGAACTTCAGAAACATTTTCTTTGAGAATAAGTAGCTAATTATTCAGAATCTTCCGAATTCTCCAGCACTGGCATAAGGACAGCAGTAAAGCAATAGTGGAAACCTTCCCACACACATGCATTCCTGGTTAGCCCCGACGGGCTCTGTCAGGAGTCATCTAGTCAGAACAGCTAAAACTGGGGACAGCTGCCCTTCTGGGTCAGGAACAACATAGGCAGTGATTGGATTAAAAAACAAAAACAAAAACCAGGCAGAGGAGGGTCCATGAAGTCACAGGAGGTGGAACAGCCTGCAGCCAACAGCTACCCTCTAGACAGAGGAAGAAGCAGGGCTTTTCTCGTATAGTCTATTCAGCATCCAAAGGCTGGAAGAATAACCAGTCTCTAACTAGTATTCCTAGAAAGACAGATGGAGGTGAGGGTCCCGGGTATCTGGCCACAGGCCTATCATTTTAAACAATAAAAGATGAAAAGGCCAATTCAAGATTGCTTCGAATTACCTCTTTTCTCCACTTGAGCTCACAGAACACCCTCTCGAAGCATTCGTGCATATAATTAAACTGAAAAACAAAACAAAAACATAACAAAGACAAGATAGTGACGCTGACTTCTTATGACCCACTGGGCACCACAGGGCCATGCCTCTGAACCCCTGCCCCCAGTCTCCCCACCTTCCCAACCTTGCTGAGCACCACAAGAACCCCTTCACTAGTCTGGGGCTCCTCCTAGTGGCAGCTGTGAGTCAGGCAGGAAGTGAAGCTGCCACTCCCAGTCTGTCCTCAGGACAGCCAGGAAGAACCTGGGGCTCTAAGGCTCAAAGACAACTGCTATGGCTGCAGCCCTCCCCATTTACGCGCTCAGCTGGAGAACATCAAACCCAATATACTTTCCCAAGAGTGCTTCCGGTCTACCACTCACATATGGTGTGAAGATTTTAACCCATCGAGGCTTCTTCTCTCCTCGTGCATACTCGAAGCAGAAGGCCATTCCTTCTTCATCTGTATCCCATCGCTGCATCTCGTCCCATTCAAATGCTATTACCTGGTTCTAAATGACCAAGAACAGAGTGTTAAGTCTGAGAATGCTGGGCACCTGAGCTGAGATGGTTCTGGGCCAGACAGCAGAAGACAAGGGAGTGAGTGTCTGCATCATGTCAATAAGACTGAGGGAAGAATGAGTCCATGTGAGCAGCCAGGAAGGTGAGGATCCTTGTGGACCCAGTGCTGATTTACCTTCCCCATCACCATAGTATGGATTTCATCTCCCCTCCTGACAGGAACGAAACCAGAGTGGGTAAGTGGCAGTGTCCCCAATGCTCCCAGCCCTGGCCCCATGCTGAACTGTCACCTCCAGCTGTCCTTCTTCAGTGCAGGCATGCAGTTTAAAGTGCGTGATGCTGATGGCTGTGATAACGTGCCCCTTCCTCCTGGAGTCACAGGCGCAGTGGGGGAAGATGATTTCATTGTAGCCCTCACAAGTCCTCAGCATGTTGAGATACTGGAAAAAAAAAAAAAAAGGTGTGTGTGTCTGTGCGCGTGTGTGTGTGTGTGTGTGTGTGTGTGTGTAACAGGGTTACTATGGAACTAAACCACCACGAAGAGCTGCTGGGATGTCACCAGAGAAAGAACAAAGAGAATCCTCTCACCCAGCAACCTGAAGACTCTGGTCTTCACAGCATGACCAGCTCTAAGAAGGGCCAGGACTCCAAGCCTATTCTTTGTTCCACTTCCAGCCCCACCTCCTTTCTCTGCCTCAAAAAGTACACAAATGAAGCCAGAAGAGGTGCTGTGACCAAGACCCGTATGTCGAAAGGTGAACTCACAAGGCTGTTTAGGCTGCCCCTCCTTTCACTAGCATCCAGGAAGGGAATCAAACCGATCTACATGACTGAGTAAAGGGAGCTCATGTCTCCTCACAAATCAAAAGTTACAAGAACCTCAGTGACGAGGAGTAAGCTACCCCCAAATCCCATACTCATAACATGTTTAAGCCAGTCATTTTACAGAAACCCAGAGTCACAGGAGACTTGCTGAAGGTCACAGGTAATAGTAAGTGGCACAGCCAGGATTAGAAGCTAGGTTTAATTTCATGGCCACTGGTCCTTTCTCTATCGCCAACTAGGCCCCAAATCAGCACCACCATCCCCTGATCTCCAGTACACATGCCTCCTTAAAAATCATGTGGACCAAAATCGAGTGGCATATATGACCCTCAAAGGTACAATGCTACAAGACTGATTCAGAGAGGACTCTAACTCAGCTCTCTGTCCTTTCTCCTCTACAGTGAAGACTGGCCTCTCTTTCACTCAACTCACTATTTTGAGTTGAGATGGGAGAGTAAAAGATGAGTGGGAAGGAGAGTAGAAGAGAAATAAAGAAAAGATGATTAAAAAAAAAAAAAGACACATGGACTCTGAGCCGGTTTCTCCTCAGGGACTGCCTAGGAAATAAGTAAAGAACCTTGAGTCCCTGTACCCTCGGCTGCCCAGCACACAGGCCAACAGGGCGCACTAGGAACATGTGGGGAGTGTTGGAGAGAAGACAGAGGGACAGCACCCTAGCTGATTTCAGCTAGATGGGCAGGGAGACTGGAACACATTGGAGGGTCACCTTTTGCCCAAGAAAGAAGAGACCAAGGGACCTAGGTACAAAAAGGGCCCTGGGCAACCGGCAGCTCTAGTACCAATGAATGGCACTAAAGACGGTCACTACTGCCCCAGAGATGGTCTGGGAGGACTTAAGGGCCTAGGGAAAAATCACACCACATACTCCCTTTCCTACCTTGTACTTATTTCTGTTTAGGTAAAATAATGGCAACCTTGAAGGGGAAACATTATAAAAGGACAGCAAGAACACAGCGACAGGATCAATTCAGAAGTGCCACAATAGCCGACTTGCTTTTCTCAGTTCTCCTTCCTTCTATCCCACTCCTCCACCCCCTATCTCATCACCCTTCCTGTACCAGGGAGAAAAGTAGCCACTGCTTGGGCCTGCCAGTGGCACTATGAACAAAAAATATCTCTGGCCAGGGACAGGCAGTGCCACAGAACAGAACTCTTCTGGGGTTGAGACAGGAAGCAGTATGAGGAGTGGTCAGGAGCCTGGGCCCAGACCACCCTGGGCTTGAATCCTGGCTCCACCACTTCCTGATTCTGTCACCTTGGATGAGGCACTTGCACTCCAGCCAAATTACTAACTCCCAGGAGCTCTAGTTTCCTCTTCTATAAAAAGAAAAGAATAACAGCACCTACATCACACAGTTACTTGTGACCATTAAAGTATTTAGCCCAGTACTTAGTACATAATTAGGTATTCAATAAAGGATAGCTTAAAAAAATAATTTTAAAGGCTCCATTATCCCTAGCCAGAAGGCTCAACTATTTTCTCTCCAGGGAAAAGCTCATGCGAGTGAGACGGATGAAACAGGAGTGGTAGAGAGCAGAAGGTTGCTGCAACTGATTAATGGGTACTCGGGGGGCTAAACGGGACTATTCTTCCAACTTCCTTACATACTTGAAATTCTCTACAATAAAATATTAAAGGCAAAGAGAAGAGTCCCTGCATGCCAATGCTCAATCCAAGGCGCCCCCCTAACACAGTCAGGGGGAAATTTCTGTGTGCTCAACAAGCAGCAGGTACTGCTCAAAGGGGCTCAGGGAGGCGCCTGCGTGGCACAGTAGGTTAAGTGTCTGCCTCTTGATTTACGCTCAGGTCATGACCTCACAGTGTGTGATACTGAGCCCTGAGTAAGGCTCTCTCTCTCTCTCAAAATAAATAAATAAAATTTAAAAAGAAAAGAAAGAAAACAGATTTCAAAATTGCTTTAAAAAAAAAAAAAA